TGTTAACCTCAATGTAAGACGAGAAATAAAAAACGAGTGGGAGAATCTTAGGAAACATGATGTTTGTTTCCTGATTACTGTACGCCCATCTGTTCCAATTGGTCAGTATTTTTTTATTTTTTTTAACTTTGCGTGAATTTTGTATCATTGGAAAACTTTTGATGTTTTCATGTTTTGACTTGACTTGTTGCAGGCACTCGTTACAATTTTAGAGAGCCCTTTTTACCTCAAGTTGGATTAGTTTATGTAAGGGGATGTGAAATGGAGGGAATGTTGGACTCCAATGGTCGGGTTGTGGAGGATGGACCTGAACCTAGACCAGACCTGCCTGGTGATTCAAGAACATTCCGTGTTTGGTTAGATTGCAATCAGTATCGTAATGATATGGATAATGTTGCTCAAAACGGTGCTGAGGTAATTATAATTCCTGCATAACTTTTGTCAGACCTAGTAAGAATTTTGTAAATCAATTGTATTATCTTTATATTTTGTCTAGGATGTGTACGAAACTTTTAACATTCTTATGAGAAGAAAGCCCAAAGAAAATAATTTCAAAGCAGTTCTAGAAACTATAAGAAATCTAATGAACACAGAATGTGTAGTTCCTGATTGGTTGCATGATATCATCCTTGGGTACGGTGATCCAAGTGCTGCTCATTATTCAAGGTAAAAGCACTAATTCAATATCAGCTTCTTCTAATTTCTACCTTTAACAAATAAATATTGCTACAAACTCTTTCTTTTGACTTCACAGAATGCCCAATGAGATTGCTAAAATGGATTGGAATGACACTTTCCTAGATTTAGATCATTTAAGAGATAGTTTTCCTTCCCATGAAATCAAAGTGAAAACTGATGACCCTTCCAAGCTGACTCCACCATTCATGTGAGTATTGGTTGGTGGGTATTGTTTGCAAAATTTATTGCAGAGGAGGTTTTTTAATTTAATTTTTTTTTAATTCTTTTTATTCTGTTTCAGACTAAACTTTGAAGAGGTGATTGAAAAACACTGTGCCAGAAGTGAAGATAGGGAGCCAGTGTTAGACCAAAAACAAGCCATAGTTGTTGAACCTCATATAATTCCTAGCCGCGGCCCTTATCTTTATAATGAGCCTAAAAGGTTTGTTAATTATTATTTGTAATACTGAAATGAACCACTTTTTATATCTCAACTAAGTTTATTACAATACGTAATTCATAATTGACCCCCATGATTTTACATGACATAAGGTTATGAGAAATTGATTTTTTTGTTAAAATATTCATTACATTAACTGTTTCTGTGCAGGAATTCAATCCGTTTCACTCCCACCCAAATAGAAGCTATTCGTGCTGGTATGCAGCCAGGCTTAACTCTTGTTGTTGGACCACCTGGAACTGGTTAGTGCAGTCCTATTTAGCCTTATTGAGAATGTGAATAACTTTTTAAAATTATGTTATGTTTTGTTTGTTAATTAACAAAATTATGATTGCAGGTAAAACTGATGTAGCAGTTCAAATTATCTCCAATATTTACCACAATTTTCCTGCTCAACGAACTCTTATTGTCACTCATTCTAACCAAGCCTTGAATCAGCTGTTTGAAAAAATTATGGCTTTGGATGTTGATGAAAGACATTTACTTCGTCTTGGTCATGGTGAGGAAGCTCTTGAGACTGAAAAAGATTTCAGCAGGTTTGTTCAATATTCCCACCTGATTGGTAATCTGTAGCTCTAAAATTGCCCTCAAAAAATAATTTCACATTTTTTAATCTAAATTCTTAGATATGGTCGAGTGAATTACGTGCTTGCAAAACGCTTAGAACTGCTTCAAGATGTGCAGCGTCTTCAAGATTCCCTGGGGGTCCAAGGAGACCAGGCCTACACCTGTGAGACTGCTGGTCACTTTTTCCTTTACCAGGTCTTGGCAAGATATGAACGCTTTTTAGCTAGTGTGAAACGTGTTGGCAAGAAGGTACTGAATTGTTCAGAATAATTTTGTGTGTTTTTGAACTGATCTCTTGTTTTTCCGAAAAATCTAGTATGTATCTATTAAAATTTCTCTTAATGATTTTGCAGGCTGCTCCTTTATCCATTATTGATGAAGAATTTCCATTCCACAAGTTTTTTGATGATGCTCCTAAACCTCTGTTTAAGAAAAGAAGCTATGAAGAAGATATGGAAATTGCAGATGGTTGTTTCCGGTATGCCACCTTCACAATTGCTTAGTACAACCAGCTCTCAGTAACAACATTATCTGATTTGTGTGCTATTGATGTATTTTTATAATTCTTTCAGGTACATTGAAAAAATATTTACCCAACTTGAAGAGTTCAGAGCGTTTGAGTTACTCCGTAGTGGCCTGGATAGATCAAAGTATCTTCTTGTTAGAGAGGCAAGGATCATTGCAATGACTTGCACACATGCTGCACTTAAACGCAGTGAACTTGTTAACTTAGGTAATTTATATTGAAAATTCTTTCAGATACAAGTGCATGCCTTCATACTTTTTGGAGCTTATTAATTTATTTTGTAAATTAATCTTCTAGGTTTTAAGTATGACAACATTCTTATGGAAGAGTCAGCCCAAATCCTAGAAATTGAAACATTTATTCCTCTTCTACTACAAACACCCCAAGATGGGTATTCAAGGCTGAAGAGGTGGATAATGATTGGTGATCACCATCAGTTGCCTCCCGTCATTAAAAATATGGCATTCCAAAAATATTCTAATATGGAACAGTCATTGTTTACCAGAATTGTAAGGTTGGGTGTTCCAACTGTGGACCTTGATGAACAAGGCAGAGCAAGACCAAGGTAACTACAGTTTTGTTTTCTGTAATCAGTTGATTGGTGTGTTTCCTGCTTATCATTACTTTTTTTTACAGTATCTGCAACCTGTACAATTGGCGTTACAAAAAGCTTGGTAATCTACGCCATGTTCAGACATGGCCTGAATATTGTGTTGCCAATCCAGGCTTTCATTATGATTTCCAGCTTATTAATGTTGAGGACTTTAATGGAGTTGGTGAATCAGAGCCAAGTCCAAACTTTTATCAGGTAATAGCCTTACCTTTATTTTGTTTATGTATTTTGTCAGTATGATTTATGCTGGAATACATAGTCCCTAGGATCATTACCATATTCTTGCAAAAAAAAGCAATTTTGTTAAGTAGGTAATACTTTTTATTTTAATCATCTTTTCATTTTTGTCAGAACCTTGCTGAAGCCGAGTACTGTGTGGCAGTGTTTATGTATATGCGTCTCCTTGGATATCCAGCTGAAAAAATATCAATTTTAACCACCTACAATGGACAAAAGCATCTCATTCGTGATGTTGTGAACATCAGATGTGCTAAGAATCCCTTGATTGGAATGCCCCACAAGGTATCACTCAATAACAACTTATCCTTTTAATTAATAAATTTTACTCTTTGAATGTTATTCTTGATTTGTTTATTGTTTTATAGATAACTACAGTTGATAAATACCAAGGACAACAAAACGATTACATTCTTTTGTCCTTGGTAAGAACAAAAACTGTGGGTCATTTGCGGGATGTTAGACGTCTAGTGGTTGCTATGTCACGTGCTCGGCTAGGGCTCTATGTGTTTGCTAGAGTGTCCTTATTTAAAAATTGCTTTGAACTTACTCCAGCCTTCCATCAGGTACCAACAGACTTATTTTGATTACTTTGACATTACGTTACTGGAATAGATCCTTTATCTGAAGTTTGTTTTTCCATTTTGACAGCTAATGGAGAGGCCATTGAATCTTCACTTAGCTGTGGATGAGAGTTACCCATCACAACGTCCTGTTGACAAGACGCCTGATAATCCTCCCATGGAAGTTCAAGATATGCCCCAAATGGCTCAGTTTGTTTATGACTTCTACATTGAAAAAGTTCAGGCCATGAAGTCTGCATTCTATGTAAGAGAATTTCTGAGCCATTCAATTTGCACACCTCGTCGTTAAACCAAATTGTATCTTTAATTTTTCTTAATTCCAGGGAGCACAGAAAGTTTGGGAGAAGCCAGGAAATGTGACTTCAAGCGTTCCAGAGAGGAATGTTCCAGAGCATCCAGGAGGAGATAGAGACACTGATGATGAGGAAGATGAGGAGGAAACAAAACCACTAAAGCAAAGGAAGGCTTTGCCTGCACAAAAAGAGGTTGTTCCCATATTGGATGAAACAATTGATGAGGAACAGAGTGAACAAAGAAGTTCAGAAACAATGGATACCGATGAAGGAAGAACTGAACATGATGAAGAAAGAACAGAACCGGATGAAGCAATGGTTTGTGAAAATGGCTCTAATGGAGACTAAAATATAATTATTATGTAAGTTTATTCTAGAAAAAGAAGCATGTCACTTTTTAATTTTTTGAAAGACACACCAGTATTTTAATGAATGGTACTACTGTGTGCTAGGTTTGTATTCCAAACTCTGCTGTAAATATATTTTTGTAAATAAAAGTTGACTGGTGATATGAAATTATTATAACATCATGACATAATATGTCAATTGGTTTGAATGAAGGTTCCTCTATCCTGCTATGATAATATACAATGTAGTTTATTGAATCATCATTAATTATCTTTGGAAAAATTATGTCAGACTATTATTTTATGCCTGGCTGAGCTTATTGTGTATCGTCACAGTTATTTTACTAGAATAGTTTCACTAATACAGCTCTCTTAAGATACTTTAGGTAGCTTTATTTAATCAAATCAACCACAAAAGATTTATGTAATACACTTGATAGTAGCAAGGAACTCATTCATGATTTCTGATATTTTTTGGGGTACGTCAAGTTTAGCAAGACACTTGAAGAAGTCATTGGGAAACTTGCTCACACAGCTGGTCACGTCCGCGACGAGGGTCGCCCCGATTTTTGCATACTTGCCGATACTTTTCTCAGCACACTTGAATAACTTATTGATGAGGTCCACTATCGTCTGTCGGGCAGTTGACGATTTCAGCCAATGCGGTGTACCCGCCTCTGAACATTCTAAGGAGGCCTCTTCCGCAGCGAACGCCACACTCTTCAACATATAAAAACTTAGTCAGTCAAAGCAAACCCTATACGGAAGCCCGATGATACCAGAATTCAGTCATGTCTGTGTGTACGCTGACAAAGATTATAGATTCAGTCGAGTTTCATGACGTACACATAAGATGACAGCACACGCGCAGAATAAGAACAGCTTGCTATTGAACTTCATGGCGACCCTGCAACACGTGGTGCCCCGTTGGTGTCGTGAGTGTTCGGGTGAGGCCCACTCCAATACCCATTGTTCGTCGCGTCGCGGAGGCATGGCGGGCAGGGCGATAGCGTACCCTTGCACACTGCAAGCTGCGCGCACGGCCTGGCCGGGCCCGGCCCGCGGCAGCCGCGGGGAAGACCAGTGCTGAGCGCTCGTGTAACGGAGGGCCATGGGGCAGTAGTGGAGGAAGAGGGAAATCAAAGACTGAGCAAAATCTAAGTTTCCATGATTTATTACTGATGTGTAGAGTCATGGCACAAAATGTGGTCTCCCACTAGATAGAACAACAATATTAAGAGATTCAATGAAAAATGTAAGCATTTCTTATTTTGGCACTTGGGTATTTGTGACTTAAGGGAAGTGAACTTGACAGAATAATATAGTAGTTCCTGGAGAACTTTACCAGTAGTTAACAGTATGTTCTCCAATAGGGAATTTACATTAAATTGAAGCATTTGTCACTACAATAACAAAACGTAAACTGAAATATTATCACATTAAAGTTGAGTGAGTCAGAAACAAAGTTTTGAAAGCAGCTGATGGAGTTAACATCAAGTAAAAAACAACATTTTCAGTATTAAAGTATAAGAACAGTTAATAGTAGTTCATAACATAAAAGCTGATAAAATAAAAGCTCCACTACACAGCAAAATAAAAAAAAATCACAGAACAAAAGGTACAAGATAGTGAAATGGGGATACTTCATCAAGCTTTCTTTCATCACATTACCTCACAACCAAGTCGACCACAATGTTAGATAGATAAATATACACAAGAGAGAAGAAAGATGTGACAAATGACCACCCTGTTGTACTTTAACTGAGCAAGTCACATTTCACCTAAATTGTCAGAGATTCACCACAACTTTGATAGCATACTGATACAGATCGATGCAGTGTGATATTATCACATACTTAAATCTAGACTAAGAGATACACACCCCACAAAAGCCGACAGGATTACATTGACAAAACTGTCCTAATAAAGAATGTGCTCCAAGCTTCAAAGTTAATAATCTAGGCAATCACAGCCGAGGAGGCCATTTGATTCACTCCGCATGTACCGTCACCCCGGTACACTCGATAGTAACCCTGCAAAATAAAAAGGAAAAATATTAACAACTGTCTGGAAAATGACCAAGGTTAAAATGAAAATGATTATCTGAAAAAAAATTATGACAGCAAGGGACAACTGATAGAATCTAACAGTGTTTCAATTTTATTACACCCATCATAAACCCCAAAATTCTCTTTTGAAGAGATGAAAACAATAAAAAAAATTGGGGAGGGGGGACAGGAATTGTAAACAAATGTAAGTCCAAGCGATTCAACGCTGGCGCCCCAGTGATGTATCATACAGCCAAGTGATGCATCACTGGGGTCTAAGTGATACATCACACAGCCGAGTGATGTATCACACAAGACCAGTGATAAATCACACAAAATCAGTGATAAATCACACAAAATCAGTGATAAATCGCACAAAACCAGTGATATTTTTCTGTAAAGGGAAAGGAACGGGGGAGGGGGGACAGGAATTGTAAACTTGAAAAGGGACGGGGACTGAATTTACTGGTTCTGGTTCAGGTTGTACAAACTCATTCCTACCTGTTCACCCCACCTCTCCCCCCAGCTGTTTTTAATAGTCCAGAAGGGAAGTTCTTTTTTAAACATAGGGTAAGCTGAAAAAAACAAAAAAAAACACATGAAACATTACTAAAAGAGTCTTTACCTTTTCACCCCAGAAAGTTCCCCAGCTATTCTTGATGAGCCAATAGGGAAGAACTTTGTGTCGGATTGAAGTTGCTAAAATAAAAGTAGATATAAAATTATAAAATGACAAACTGTTGCTATCAGAACTGAAGAAAGAAGGGTTTAAAACAGAAGAAGATAACAAATATACAAGATGTGAGATGTAACCCTTTAAAAAATACCAGCTGGTTGTTGGAGAAACACTGTACTGTAATTCAGATACTCACTGTGCACACCATAGCCCACGATGAGTACACCATGATCTAAATTTCCTGGACTACACAGAAATTTAAAAGGGTGAGAAACTCCACCAACATAGAACTGTAATAGAATAAGAACATTAGACATACTTTCATCAATGCTAGGTTTAGATACAAAACTGTTTGAAATAAGAAAAACAGGAAGATGAGATAGCAATTTACCTGCATAGCATTAGCGTTAATACCAATAGCTATAGGACCATTTTTGACAAGCCATTTAGCCATATCAGATTCATTTGTAGTAATATTCACAGAACTCTTTACTTGAACCACAGCTTCACTGCGATTAAAATGACATTGTTCATCGTCACCTTCATAGGGGTAATCACTTTCAGTCTCAATGCCACCTAACTTTTCTAATGCTTGGTAAGCATTTTCAGGCAAGCCTCCCTTACATCCATCATCCAATGTGTCACAATCTACGAGCTCTGGAAACAAACGTAAATAACGTAAATAAAAAGATCAATATAAAAAAAATACTTGAATAAGCGCAATACCAAAAAAAACAATAACCTTGTTCTGAAAGCGAAACTAGTTTTCCATGTTTGATGGCATTTTGACCTTCTATGTTTCCTGCCACAGCAAATGCCCAGCATGATCCACATGCTCCCTGTAACACAGGATAGATGTCACCATAATCTCAAAATGTGACTGCAGCAAGTAGGGATATGAATGTCAAATGTCTTTTTGTGTTGAGAAAGGAACTTACTTGGTTTTTGACAGGTGTTACGGCATCATGATCCCTCCAGTCAAATGACGTTGGCAATTTAATGTTGGGAATACTTGCCATTCTCATGGGAATTCCATTTTCTTGGTGTAAATCTTTGCGAAGTCCTAAGTATGTATCTTTGAACTCCTTTGCTGTAAAGGGATAAAGTGCAGGTAACTTGCAGAAACAGAAAAACGACAGAATGTCAATTTGAATCTAAGACTCACGACTCAAATCAGCAAATATAGTGGGTCCATATTGTGCTGTTCCCTGTTCCCCTTTTTGCAGTCTGTCAATGATTTTCAGATTAGCTCGGAAGATGTGAAACCGTTTCTGCAGTTCAGCATCAGAGGAGTACGTTTTATTGAAACTATGAATGAAGTCTCTGAACAACCCAGCACTTAAATCCACATCATCTTCACCAATCAGATGATTCTGTTTCAAAAGACACTTAGGATAAGAAGGAAAGAATTCAAAAATTCTTGGCAAATAAGACCATATTTCTGCGTATTACATACATGGGGTCGGAGGTTTTTATCAGATCCAAATGAGGCACATTTTAAACTTGTTACTCTTCTAACCTTAAGTAAAGGCATATGAACCATCTGAACATGACATGTCTGTTTATCCTACATTTAATGCACAAAACAAGAATCATATTATTATTAGGATTATGAGAATATGTCTAAAAAGCATACATATTTAAAAATAAATTTTAAGTAATATCTTAGAAATATGTAAACTTACAGTATCCTTTAAAAGAGCACAGTTACTTGAAGTTGATGATTTCCTGCATGTTGAATGGCCAACAACCAAGTACAATTTTACATTGGTAACTGATGAGTGCTGTTAAAAGCAAACATAAAAATTGAGCAAGGAATGTGATGTGGCTCATTGTAGCTCCTTAGCAAAAAATGAATTGCAATAAATAACCAACTAACCTGGACTTGGGCAGCAAGTACATGAACAAGTTTCTGACGATATGGACTATTCGTTTGATGATCAATTTCTTGAAGGGCAATATTTGCTGATTCAGTTATATAAGGGTCCTTGACATCCACTTCTTTAAATATATCCAGAGATTGTTCCCCAGGGATCTCCTGGATAGTGTTTGAAAAATAATGTCTTGAGAGAACTTATATTTATATGTAATCTGGAATGGATTGACCAAAAAATCTCTTGAACTCACCCTCTTCAATCGAGTTCTTCCACATTGAACATCTTGAAGTTCACGCTTTTTTAACCACAATCGATCCCACACTTTTAAACTGCACATAGTTGTGGCCTAGAGAATGACATTATTTTGATAAAGAGCCTTAACAACTGATCACACGAACCAACTTGTATTGCCTACGGTAAAACCTAATTAAAATAACAAACAAATTAACATACCTGATCAGAATCGTGAACACAATTCTCTGACGCAACCTTTTCATTTTTAAGGCAATTGGTAGTGGCAAGTTCCAACTTCAAATGCATCAGAGTACCTGCAACTACTTGTGTCTTAGCTTCCACAACTCGAACAACTTTTTGCTGGTAGGGGCTGTTCAACCCCTTATCAATTTCAGCAACAGCAAAACTAGCCAGCTCTTTAACATATGGATCTTCTCCATCAATAGTTTGAGGTCCACCAAGAAGTGGTTCTTCACGTTTTGAACGAGAACTGCCACAGTTCAAATCTTGAACTTCACGCAACTTAGTCCAAGGTTGATCCCACACTTTCAAAGTGCAAATAAGAAGTTGCTATGAATAGAATGGCATAGAGTTACTTGTCTGCACTAAAAAAATTTGCATCTGAAAACTACACAAACACTAAAAATGTAAAGATATTACCTCAGAATTACTTGAAGCACAGTTTTGACTGGACTGATCAGTCTTGAGGCATGATGTTGGAGCTACTTCCAGTTTAAAGTGGTAAAGGGTTCCTGCGACAACTTGGCGGCGTGCTTCAATTATACGAACTAAAGTGTGTTGATAAGGACTATTGACAGACTTTTGAATTTCAGCCAAGGCAAATTGTGTAATTTCCATCACATGCGGGTCATTGACATCAGCGTCTGAGAGACCTCCAGGTACACCAGGTGACTGAAATTAAAATTAAGGTAGACAGTGATTAATATTATTTGAAGTTACGCATGACATGATCCGCAACAATTCAGCAAAGAAATACCCTTTTCAGTCGTTGAGTGCAAACAACCCTTGATGATACAACCATTGGCTTCTTAACATCACCTAACATCTTCAGTTTTGCTGGATCGGTCAACAGGATCTACAAATTTAAAAAAATACAGGTTAATATATCAAATATTAGAGTAAAATTATTATTCTAGTAGGACAAAAAAGGATAAATTTACCGTGATCACCATTTCCGGCTGCATGCTCTCTTTATTCACCTGGAAAGCAAACAACTATGACTAAACCACGCTTTTCTAAAGTGAGTGCTTTACAAAACAATTTCAAAATAAGAAAAAAAGTGAGGCAATCCACTGTAATTCTTTTTCTGGAAAATAGGTATAGAAGAATTACTGAGGACAAATATACAAATTGAAAGATTTACCCGTGTATGAGCATCACGAATAGTTGCAACCTTGGATACATCTTTTACATTGAGAACATCTTGAAATGAGGTCATAACTTTATCAAGACAATCTCCTTGAGAACGATCCTCCAAGTCATATTTTTTCCAGCCATCAGTGCTAGGCCAATTTTCTTGACTGCTGCGCCTTACTCTCTCAGTAGGAAGTGGCTCAGAAGGGAAGTCATCAGGCCAGACATCAGCACACTCTGATTTGACAACCTGATAATTGAAGGTGATATAAACTTTGTTTTACTTGCTTTATCATATGTGAGCTAAAAACTTGATGATAGAAGAACTCACCTTGGCATTAAGAGGAGATTCATCTGCCCAGCTACGATGAATTTGAACACGACATACTTTTTCTGGATACAGGTGGTTTTCAACACAGTTTGCATCACTAGTACTTCCCTCATTTTCTCGGCATGTTGAAGTCCCCACTTGAATGACTAAATGATACATTATACCATTCACTATCTAAATAAAATGAAACAGGAAGCAAAAAGAGGTACAATTAATCATCTTTTAAGCAATTCAAATGGCTAGCAATCAGTCAAACAATTGCTTATGCATACTTGTTTCTTGGCTTCTGACACACCCAACACAATTCTTTTAGTGTTGTCTGGATCGACTTCATCAAGAGTCTTTACAGCTAATTCAGCAAACTGAGAGATCAAGTCATGTTCACTTTTATCAACATCTCGTAGGGCTCCAAAATTGGCCAACCGTTTTGCTCGGATACTTTCAACAACCTCAGTAACATCGGTATCTTGAGGACTATTGTTAGCTGTACTTTCCAGGTCTTCTTCTAGATCATCAAACCTTTCAACGAAATCAACTGGCTTTATATTAATTGTATCCATATCTACTCTACTGTCTGGAGAGTTTCCTTCAAAAGCATTCTCATGAGATTCCCTATTATGAAATTCCGTAGAGGATTCATCATCAGTGCAGTTATTAAATGCTACAAGCTGTGATCCATCAATCTTCTTTAAAATTTCTACCACACACACACGACTTTCCTCATCTTGAAGATTGCACTCTACTGGGGTTGATGGAGTACCACTTGGAATTGGGCACAAAGTGCGTCGAGCTTCAAATGTAATAATGTATCTAATGCCCAATTCAACCTAAAAATTTGAAAAAGTAACAGTTTGAACAAAATTTGATGACAACCAATATAAAAATAAAGGCACATATCACCAAGTGAAAATACCTGTTTTTTGGCAGAGAGGATGTTTGGGGTGCCATACTTGTAGATGCTTGTTGATTCCATAGCTGCAAGAGGTTGCTTCAGCAATCTTTGCAAATTTTCAAGGTTTTCAGGGATACTTATGTCCACTTCTATGGGACATCCCAAACAAGGTGCTTTCTTTTGAATGGCTGGCAGCTCCTTTTTTTCTTCATTGTTAGGAGGGGAACTGATAGACTCAGAACCTTTGTTACTTTGGTTTGCTACATCATCAAGGATAACAACCTTCAAGTCTTGTTCCTTGAGGAATACAACAACACAAAAGACAAAATTAATCACAATGAGTATATATTGTGCTACTTTTTAAACAGAAAAAAATCAGCTATTTTAACTTACTTCAGTACTTTGGGGTGGTACAGTTTCATAAACAACCAGAGGAGTCCCAGAAAGTACCTTCATATGATTTGACAGAGAAAAAAAGATTAGAATAGTGAAAAGGAAACTTCTATTCGTTTTGAAATAATTATTTTCCTCTCCTTTGTTTGAATTCGGTCCTTGTATAAAGGTTCCAGGCACTGCATGCTGTTCTTTATAGGCCCATAAACTGCTAATTATTGTTTCTATTAACTGCTGATCAATACCCAGAAATTAAAGACTGGTCGGTATTTAAAAGTATCATAAATCAGGCTACGGCTAACCAGTTAAAACTAGAATGCGAGATAATGCAAACAAATTCAGCGTGCCAACAAACTGGTTCAAACAAGATCCAAAAAGTGGAACTTCAGCAAGATTATTGAAATATTGATAAGCATATACAAGAGTAGACTCACTTCAAAGTCAGCCAATGAAAACTAACGCGAAGGAATTAAGATATTTTCCCACATTTATGAAACAGTTACCGAACAAAGGAAAATGCGACAAACTCTGCTCACCGACAATCAATGAGTGCAATGACCCCAGGCAAAAACAACGTAAAAGATAACAACTTAAAACACAGACAAATACGAGGGGTCGCTAGCCATATTCCTAGTTAGGATCTGTTGGACATTTTATAGTTGAGTAACAAAGAACTTCTCTGCTTAAAGTAATGCCAGATTAAACACAACTTTGATCTTACCTCATTTGCACCTGAGCTAACATCGGCTAGAATTTCATACTCCGTACGCTGAGGATCAGATAGATCTGCACCATTTTGACCATTGCAAGCAACAGCAAAGCACAAAGACAGCACAAAAAGTGCCCAGATTTTTACTAAAGCCGCCATCGCATGACGAGCTTTGGCTCAGGTGCTTAAAATCCAAACCAACTACTCGTCTTGGCAAAACAAGTCAGACTGCTGAGGAGGGGCTGCGACGCAGCGACGGCGACGGTAGACTGGGTTTCCGTATCTGTGGTCTGGACCGCAGCTCGACCTGACCTGACCTCCCTCGACAATTATTGATTTCTAATGTTTTTGTTGTCACTGTACTTTTAAAGTGCGCATCGTTCATCAGCTGATAAAGCAGCAAGGCAAGGCGGGATGAGGAAGCGTCTGCTAGATTGTCCCCCACCCATCTCGCCCCCACCACAAGTTTGCGCTTCCCCTTCTCGCGTATCTTCTTTGGCGCGCCGTTGTTTGAACACCGTTTGAACACGATGAACTGACCCCGCGGAAACTTTCGGTAATCAAGCTCCAATACGATGCGTGGTAACAGTGTGTACTAGTCAGCGTTCGTAAAAATTTGTATCAGAACAGCTGAAGCACACAAAACTTTCATAAAACACCTAACCCGCCGTGAGTTAGGCAGCTTTTCGAACACCTAAGAGCATGGAGTAGCGTGGCATCGACTCTGACTCTTTCGACCGATAGCTCATAATATTAGATTGATAAAACTTTATTCAACGGATAGCGAGTTAGTAAAAGCACATGCCATTTGATCAAATAAATAAAATACCTCACCTTTTTCAATATTCCGTGCGACGGATTTAGGCGACGAGTCATCCCTAAAATTTGAATTTCACAATGAAATGAATAAAAGACGACAATCAATGCGACGTCATTGAAAAATCTTTAACGACCTTCAATTATATCCCACATAGGAAGACACTCCTTAATTTTTTATCAACAAGAAGTTGAGGAAGAAAGGGTCACTTTCGTCCTCATTCTTTGGAATGGGCGAGCACCCTCCATAGTCATAAAATTCTCGACTCTTGACAAGCAAGACGAATTACCTATTGTTGTGTAATAGAGCAAACCGAGCCGTACGTGCAGCTTCGCTGTTTGCTTTCTTTACGAGCGTCTTAGTACACCGACCCGACTAGACCCAACCCCTTCCCCATTGTCCTCGGTCCTCTTCGTCTCACTGGCCGAGCCGTCGTGCGGTCGAGCCGAGCGCAGCGCCACTTGCGCGCGTGTTGATGTTTTGTTTTTGTTTTGAGGTGTTAGTGTAGTGTGTTTTCATGGATGATGACGGGTCGTATTTACGGCGTCGGTTCTGCTGGGCCCAATGAACACCTCATCCCGCATCTGGTGATTATTTTAGAGTTTAGAAGAAGGTAGTTGTTTGTTTTTTGATCGCTCTTACATTGTTGGCCGCCGTCTCACTAAAGTAAGTTTTAATGTGTGCCTTTTGATCAACGAATAGAGTCACAGCAGAGCTTGTGCGTGCGAAATGGCATGATAGCTCGTTCCGTCTGGCGCGTGCGTGTAATATGGCTTTATAACCTCTCCGTGGTCAGAGTTTCTGTTTCAACTGTGTGGTTTGGATCTTCTTTCCTCCGATACATTTTAATTTATGAACAATTATGTCGGTAAACGCGTTCATTTTAACTGTCAATTTTATCAGATGAGCGGGGTATGTTCGGCATAATACGATTTAAAGTGGAGGAATGTGGTGGACTACGCGTAGCAATGCTATTAATCTACATCTTTCTTCTTAGAGATATTGAATAGTTCAGTACACGGATTAGGACGATAGTTTGAATACGAAACCTCAGAGTTGCCATTGACGTCAATTTATATTTTCGGAATTGGATTTAGTCTCAAGAGTGTGAGGCGAGGTGGGCTTAAAGCTAAGCCAATGACAAGGCTTTTAAACGATTGTTTGCAGCGAAACAATTATGCCTCATCCCTCGCGAGACTAAATACATTTTATGGAATACATAGGCTGTGCCCATTCGTATCCGTTATCAGGGTTATGGATTTTGGGGTATGGGGAAAGGGGGGGGGGCGGTAGCAGCGAGCCACATAACTTTGAACAAAGTTACAAACAGGTGAGCTGGAGCCATCCGTACTTGGGCCACGCAGCCGGCCTCGGTCGGCCGCCGGCCATCCCCTGCGTTCAGCTAGTGATCCGTCGCAGAGTTCGCGGCAGCCCGTCGCCCCCACACCTATGCCCCCTAGTTGAGAGGGGGGTAGGCATTTAGCTCGCGTAGCTCGCTCAGTGCGTGGCTCTAGCGGCTATCGTCCTACAGCGAGTGAGATGTTGTCACCAGACCGCCGAGCCTTGCTCACCCGTGGCGCGTGGCGTTTAGAGCGTTCTCGCCCCTGACCGAAAGGGTAAAGGGTGTGCTAATCGCACCTCTTTGTGGTCCTGTGAATCTTACGCCTGAAGAGAGGGCTGGTCACGGATTTAGTCAGTGTAGTGCAGTGCAGCCCCCCTCCCCCCTGCTGGTACATAGGGTATGTCAGGTTATGAGAAACAAGCAGCAATCATCATTACAGTACCTTCTCCACCCTGAAACAAATATCGAAGTGCCCCACCGAGCAAGTGACAGTTTGCTGCACGCTGCACTGGGCGACGCCCAGGGTGTTTCTCGAGCCATTGAACGACTGTCTGTCACAGCAGCTGTCACCCGTCTGTCTGCGCCGTAGGGTAGGTGATGTATGTATACCTCGGGTTGCCTTCATAGGGGTTTCGTAGCACAAATTGCCTACCTCTCAGGCGGCTCTCTAGAGACGCCCGCCCGCGCGTAATGATGTGCTCGCACCCCTGCGCGAGGCTTGTGGAGAAATTGTGAGGATTAACTGATACCTTTAGATACAGTGTAACAATCTCGGTGTCCTGATGTCACTGCGCGTTGGTCAGTACGAGGGCCGCTAGTCAGTACCAGCGGCACCAGCCAACCTCTCTGATTGGCAGCTGGGCGTAGAGTGGTTCTGGCCGGGTTCGGGGGTTGGCGTCTCTTTTATGAGCTATGATTATGCATCGACGTTTGCGTGTAGGAATTGTGTCCTTTGGTGGGTCTCCTTTGCTGATAGCTGCCCAATAAGCTGTAATTATGCGTGTGCCAGTCGTGTCCTTCGGTGAATATGAAAGTTTACTCGGGGACCAGGCGGTCGATGAAATTGTGTGTGTTTGGGCGGACGTTTTGCCCTTGACATTTTGATTGTCCTTTCTGCTATATGAAACCACACGGAGCGCTTCCCGGAACTAAGAAGAACAAGGGCCGCAAACTCGCGGCTCGCCTAGCCCGCGGTAGCGCGGCTCGCAGCCGCGCACCTCTTGCGTTCGGCTGGAGCCGAGGTTCCCGAGAGCCGCGCTCGGGTTGGCCCGGTGTGTGTCTGTCTTTGTCTCACTCATTGAGTGCCAGTAGGAGCGACAAGGACAGACACGCAGGCCGGCTGACGACACCGCTAGCTCTATCTCTCTCATTCTATTGCCGAAGACCTCGTGGAGCGTGTGGCTTATGCAGGCGCGGCTTGGCGAAAGGCTCGAGTTTGCGACCCCTGGTCTAGTCAAAGACCGATAGTGGCACGATTAGCGGACAATAACACAGCAGTAGCGGGTGAGAGGTGGCAATAACGTACGAAGGTCAGCGGGTATCAGGCATTGGCATGAAGGATCACTTATGCAAAATTCAGAATTGGCAGCATTAAAGCCACGAGGACGCAATACAGATCACAAGACTCGTTTAGCCACGTTTTTACTCTACTACTGATGCTCACGGCTCCGCGGGGGATGTGCGAAATCCTGCGCGTTCCCGACAGCAGCGCCTTCGAGCCAGCGCCTATGCAACCCGCCATACTGGCATGTAAGAGCCGGGACACCCGATATGTGTACATAGATGCGCTAGATGCGCATGTTCCCGGCTCCCCCCGGCTCCGACACCCGATATGTGTACATAGATGCGCTAGATGCGCATGTTGAGCGTTTCGGGGGTCTGTGCCTGGCGGTGAGCGCAGAGCTGCGAGTACGTATACGGGACGGGGCAGTGGATCCAATCAAGTAATCTTAACTTTGTTTGTTTACAGCCGTGAACCGTGCTTTGCGGAAACAGAGTCGCGCAGCTCTTCAGATGCGCGAATCAGGTAATACTACATGTAGTATGCTAAGTTGAGTACAACACTTTCGTAGCACAGTATTGTACCGCCTGCACGAGTGTTGTTGGGTT